GCTCACGCTGGCTGCTGGCTACACACGGTAGCCCATGGCAACCCACTGCAGCAGGGGCTGCAGCCTACGCCGTCACAGGCGACTCACAGCAGCCCACTCCAGGTTGAGCCGTTGTTCAGCATCTTAGCTGTAGAGGGCAGTGTCACTGGCCCTCATATGTGGGATCTGAAATGGGGCCCTCTGGCGTCCCAAGCCAGCTCTTAACCAACCTGCCACTCGGCCAGCCCTAGAATCCAATTCTTATTAAAGTTTCCCTGATCCTCTAAAAATGGTTTTATACAGTTAGTTTGCCATACATATTTTTAATTAGCTTTAATATGATTGGACTATATCAATACAGAACAATTTATATATGATCCATTGAGTTTCATGACAAAACTAGTGGGAAGATACACCTCTCATCTATTTTACATTTTTGCCATTCGAGCCTGTTCTTTAATCACCAAATATGAATTTATTTTTACTCTGTATGTCTTTGCTCACATTATTTTATTGTCTTGGAATGTCCCTTCTCTTATTTGAACATTTGCATATTTCTTAAGGCCCATCCAAATCCATTTAAAAAAATTTTAATTATCTTTTTCTTGTTGATTTGTTTGAGTTCTAGATAGAAATCATTTGTTAGATATCTGCAAACGCAAGTATTTTTCCCAGTCTATGATGTACTTATTTATTTTCTTAATAAAGTCTTTTGAAGAGCAGAAATTTTAAGTCTAATTTGTAAACTTTACTTTTTATGTTTAGTGTTTTTGTGTGTGTGTGTCCAGCTTAGTGTTATAGCCAATGAAACCTCTTCACTTGGATAAACCATGAACATTTCAAACTCAGCATGTCTATAACTTAATTTATCTTAACCACATCTAGTCTTCTTTTAATAATATTAAAATAAAAGTTTCTATTCATTAAGCCTCTCCTATGTTTTTGACGTATGACATGTTTTTTTTGTTTTGTTTTTTTTTTAGCTGAGCCATCCTGCCACCTGTTGGCAGCTCAGTGGCTGCCCAGCTCAGGCAGAGACTCGAACCGCTGTTGCTCAGAGCTCAAACTCTTGAGCAAGCTCTTAACCAACTGAGCCACTCAGCTGGCCCGACATGTTCTTAAGTGAGATATATATATATATATATTTTTTTTCCCCTAATTCTTTCTACAGTCTGCAAAGTTAATAGCATTCCCCTTTCAGATGAGGAAACTGAGGCTCAAATAGATTAAGTCACCCAATATTATACATTCAGTAAGTGGCAGGGCAAGGGATTGAACAGAGGTCTTTCAGGCTTCACAGCCAGGTTTTTTCCTCCTCTATTCTTTGCTCCCTCCCCTGAGCAGCACTGTATCACAATTGTTTAAGCTAGAATCCTTAGAGCTTTATTTTTCTTATCATTTAATATTCTTTTTAGTTGAGAATTGTTTTATATTTACAAACAGCCATTTTGGAATATTGTTTCTCCTCACCCTTAAATTCTTTATTTTTTTTTAAGGAGGGTGCAGCTCACAGCGGCCCATGTGGGGATCGAACCAGCAACCTTGGTGTTATTAGCACTGGCAACCTTGGTGTTATTAGCACCACACTGTAACCAACTGAGCTAACCGGTCACCCCTCACCCCTAAGTTCTGTTATCTATTAGTTACCAAGAGCTACGAGTTCTACCCCAGAAATCTCCAGCCTACTTCTGAAAAGGCCCTCATTATCACCTATAATACTGTAGAAGCCTCCTCCTTCCTTCCAGTCAAGCCCTGCTGCCGGTATTAGCTTTCTAAAGCACAAATCCAGTCACTTCAAAAACGGTTTAATCTTCTGATAGCTCTCTCTTGCCTCCGAGATACATTCCAAACTCTGACAGGGCATGTAACATGTCTGGCCCTTTCCTGCTCTCTGACCTTCTGTGGGCCTCTCTCCTTTATTCTCCCCCATTCCAGTCCCAGTGAATTGTTTATATTAGTAAGATTTATCTTCTTGCCTCTAACTGAGGGTTTTTTCCTTCCCTCTTACTCAATTCATCCTTCAAAAGTACAGAAGCTTTCTTGGGTTCTCCATACCAGAGTTTGTTGTTTCCCTCACTTTTTATAGCTCCTAAAAGAAAGAAATTTCTGCATCTCTGTGGGGCTTTTTCTGTTTGTTGTGTTACATATCTTTGATTTTTTAAAATACTTTTTTTTTTTTTTTAGAAAGAATTTTTATTGGGGAACTGGAGGGATGGGAACAGTGCTGGGGAATTGGGGGAAGGGGGACAGACAAGTTGCTGTCGTTTTGTTCTTCAGTCTAGTTGTGGAGGACGTTGCTTCACTGGCCCAAGTT